CCGCACAGGGGAGTGACCTCAACATGATGCAACAAGCTAGCAGCGGCCATGTTGACAAGCACAGTATCAATGGTGGTGGTGGGTGAACCTGCGGCCCAAGTTTTGTCACGGCAGAAAGTGGGCTGCCGATCCTGATCAGGCAGGGAAGGCTCGCATGGGTCAATCCACAGACCAGTGGCCAGGGCATCACTCACAGCCGGATAGTGAGTGGGGCAAGCCTGGAAGTCCCCAGCAAAAAGGACCGGGTGGTCCGGCAGGAAGGGGGCAGCAAAGTTGAAGGCCTCGGCCAAATACTCCTGGTTGCGTTGAAAGATGGTGTCGTCCGATGTGGCGCCGGAGACCCCATAAAAATTGATAGCCAGGATGCGAAGCTGACCATAGTGTATCCAGACCACCTGGAAGCGGCCGGATGAAAGCATGGAGGCAAGACAGCCAGTGACGTCCTGCTGGACTGGGAAGTCAGCAACAAGGCAACCTTGCGAAATAGCGGCAAGCCCCCCCCATTCGACCCGACGGACACCATTCACATCGGGGGTAACAGGGAGGAGGGGGCCAGGGTGGAGCTGCCTACCGGCCTCGGTAGCACGATAGGCAGAAGTCCGCACATTGTCAACCGAAAGCCGGGCTTCTTGCAGGAGCAGAAGATCAGCAGCAGACTCAAAAAGGTCAGGGTGAGCCCCAAGGGATCCAACATTGAGAGACTGGACCACGAACGGGCCTTCCCCAGGGAAGCCAAGAGTGGCATCAAAATCGCGGTACAGCACAGGGCCCACACCAGAGAAGGGACACATAGAAACCAGAAGGACAGGGAGGAACCACACGGCGTGCGGACCAAGGCCAGTACCAGACCCAAGGCAGAACGCCAGCCCAAGCAGGGCGTCTGCCTCACAACCCAAAAAGCAACAGGAGGGCCGAGGTGGCCCTCGCCGTCAAGCCCCAAATCGCGCAGCCTTGAGTGCGGGGGCTTCCTCAACTGGTCCAGCACGGGGACCTTTGGAAACGGCCCCCAAAATCCGGGCAAGCTGAGAGGAGACTTCGGCAAACTGGGAATCCACTTTCTCAGCAAGGACGTCTTGCTTGGCCTCCAAGCCACTGAGGCGGGATTCAAGGGAATCCACCCGAGCCTGCATGGGCGAGGGCTGAGATGTGCCGCGAGCAGGAGGCCCAGTCACGGTGGGCTGAGCAGGGGGCCCCGAGCGTTGGCGGTGCTGTGACGAGCGCGCCTTGCCCGACGGCGGCTTCATGATGGGCTCAGGGGAGAGAAGGACCTCACAAGCCCGACCTGCCGAGAGGAGGGTGAACTCCAGCACGGAAGGAGCCTGGGCAAAGGCAAGAACCCACACCAAGATGCCGTTGCGGCGGAAGGACCGGAGCGGAATGCAGGGAGACCCAACGGCACGCACCACAGCATCAAGGATCGCCTCAGGAGTGGCACCGAAAGGAAGGCCCTCCGCAAGGAAGGTGATCCTCGGGACGAGGCCGCGGTTGAGATCCCCAAACCGGGGGTCATCTTGCAGGAGGGCCCGGCGGGCAGCAGCGAGATGAGCATGGGCGATGCGCACCACAATGCCCCTTTTGAGCGGGGCAAGCCCACAGAATCCATCAAGTGCCCGGGTAAGAGCCAAGGCCGATCTGATCCCCTCCGCCGAAAGGGGCCAGAAGCGGTGGATGAAGGAGTGGTCAACAGGTTCAGTGCCCCTGGCAAGGAAATCACGGACAAAGCACTGGCCGACCCCCGACAAGCGAAGTAAGGAGGGTCGGCACCGTAACGGCACCTTAATGGTGAACTGCAGCACTCGGCCAAGCCCGTGGGGAGACTGCTGAAGGACCCGGAGGGCATACACAGCCTGGACCGGATGAGATGGCTGCGCCAGTTCCAACACAGCACTAAGCTCGGAAAGAGGCTTGGCAAGCAGAGCGGGGAAGTCCGGGTTCAGGCCCTCAAAGCTCTCAACAACGAGCTCGACAAAGTCAGCAGTCTCAATGACGATCGCATCATCAACAGACGGGCGGTACAGAATCCCAGGGAAGAGGTGAACAAGAAGGACCTGCCGCTTGTAGGAAGATTGCGCCACCGGGTCAAACACAAGAATCTGCAAAGGGCCCTCAACCTGGATGGGGTCAGGCGGCTGCGGGAGCACAGCCCTGGACTGGCCAGGGACAACAAGAGCAGTAGGCCCAGGAGGGGAGAGGTCAAAGTACTCAGCCACAGCGCTAACCGGACAGAAGGCAAGGCCAGCAACAAGGGGACCAAGCTGCCCACGCGGCACCAAGGTGGGAGCCTCATCAGCGTCAGCGAGGACGAAGGCATGCTCAGAAGGGAGCAGCAGATGATCCCACTTTGCATGGGCGCGAGAATCACCCGAACCAGCGGCACGCGAGGTGAGGCCGGGCGGGGCGGCCCAGGGGTCATGCCTAACAAGGGGATCTTCCGGCAGCATCTCCTCATCATCAGACAGAGGGGGGAGAGCAGCCTCCTGGGAACCAAAGCCACCCCCGGGAAGGGGGAAGACGCGGAGGCTAATGTGGGCGTCAGCCCAGGCACCTGCCAGAGCGGAGTCAGGTACTGGTCGTCCCTGGACATATGGTCGGACATGCTGCAACAGGCGATCAGGGAGGGGCAATGACCAGATGACCTGGTGAAGGGTAGCAAGCTGAGGAACGCTGCGCGAATGCTCCCTCCTCATAGGGTCATGAAAGTGAAGAGTCACTTCAGGGGGTTCCAGCAAGACTGGAGGAGGCTGAGGACGAAGATCCTCGGGCTCCTGGGCTGGGACAACCGCAAGGATATGGCCGGAGAGATCAGAGGCGGGATCCCGCGGCATCCAAACCCTCGCAAAAGAGGACACAGCCAAACGTGGCAATGCGACAGGCGGCACACGGGCAGTAAGCAGCAGAAGCGAGACAGCTGCCCCAACAGGGTATGTAACCTCAACGCGGTGGCCCCCTGGCGAAAACAGGGCAACCCGGGCGACACCCATCCGATAGGGAAAGACCATGGGTGGGTACAGCACCTCGCCAACCACAGTAGGTGGGCCCTCGATGTTGGCCCGCTGTGGCACCTGGGGGTGGAAGGCAAAGTCGACCATGGGCCCCAAGGGGCCAAGGTAGTATCGCCCTCGCACCATGGCGGCGATGAGGCTCGGGCCCTGAAGCCGTTGGTGCCAAACCTGCAGCACAAGGGGCTCGACCGGCTCATGAATGAGGTCAACCGCCTGGAGCAAGATTGCCCATGGGATGGCGGCCTGGGGGACTGAGATTGAATTCCCAAGCCCATGAAAGAGTTCCTCCAAGGGTGGGACAAGCACCAAGGGGCGAGTGGCACCCAGCCAGAGGGCCCACTGGGCTGGCGAAAGAAAGGCCGGGCGGTCCTGGAAGATTTGCAGTTGTGCGTAAAGGCCCCTCTCAGAGAGGGTAGCGGCAGCGAGGAGGTGCTGCTGGGAGTAGCGAGCGCACAGCGTGCGAAGGGGGCGATTCGCCTCAGGAAGTCTGCGCTGCAAGACCTCCTCGGGGGAGGTCGCTGGGTCAGTTGAAGACCGAGGGTAGAAGGCCGGGTTGATATAGTACTGCAAGGTGGTCTCATCCAGCAGACGAGCATGATTGATCTCAGGGGCCTCCGGGACCTCGAATGAGGGGTGGGTCCAGTCCACCGGGGCAGGATCCCTGAACTGCAAGGGTCCAGGGTGAACAGGCACCTCCAGGTCGTACCTGAGAAGCACGGCCAACCATCGGCGCCGAGCACATGGACCAAATTGGGCATGGTCATGCACCATGGAGTAGTGGATGCGGTAACCTGCCCACTGGATGGCTGCTGCCACAACAGGGTAGTGTGGGTGACTGGGGAGCCCGTCCACACACTCAAGCAACAGGGCGAGAGGAGCAACCGCACGGGCCCACGCTAACGCAGCAATGAAGGTCAGGCCATGGGGGTCAGCGAGACCATCCTGTTCCCCGGCACGGGACCACGGTGGACACGGAGGGGATGCAGTGGCGACATGAGAGCCGGTCCATGGTACGGCATGAAGGAGACCAATGTCGGAGACATCCGCAAGGATCGCAAGCTGCGCAGGGGTTGGAGTCCAACTGTTGAGCTGAGACGGGAGGGCACTATGAACATCCAAGGTGGCAACCTGTGCAGCAACGACCAACGGAGCATGGTCCACAAGAATTTCATGGGCCAGATCCAAGCCAACGATGCCTCTCAGCGAATTCAAGGCCTGTCCCCACCCATGGAAGGCCCCAGCAAAGAGATGGCTCACAGCCAGAGGCTCCTCCAAGGGGGGCTGAGAGAGCGGCCAGACAGGCGTGTCGAGCTCCAAGCGGGCAACACGTGGCATGGTGCCAGGGACAAGAGTGACTCCCCTGGCCCGAAAGTGAGCCCCAGGGAGGGCCAACAGAGGCCCAAACACCTCAGGAGCATGGAGCTCGAATTCGAAACAGAGGCGCCTGGCCCGAGGTGTTGAGTGGAGATCAGGGGGCAGCCCGGTAGACCACAAAGAGCATCTCCACACCGCAGGCAAGGGGGCCTCCACGCGAAAGTGGATGTTGGCCACACCCCTCCAAGCAAGAGGATCAGTTTCCTGAAAGAATGGAAGCTCCGACAAGAGGGCATCCAGGACGGCCAGCGACGAAGTGGGCAGACTGCCCAAGGCCTGCAACACCACAGGGTCACGCGACAGCATGGCAACACAGACAGAGAAGCAGCAGAGCACGCCAACCAAGCCAGGACCACAGCACCGCAGGCCAAGGGGGGGCCGCGCACACAAGGAGCGGGGCTGCAAGGAATGGGTACCTCGCTTTGTGGACGCTCCACCGACCCGGGAGGGTCCAGCAAAGCCCTGGGCGCACCGGTCCCTGAGGTGAAAGGCTTGGGCCTAGACACCTACAAGGGTACCCTTTTTTTCTGTAGTCTATTTCAGTAGGGGAACCCTCCCCCAAAAAAGGGTGAGACAGGGCACTGGGTGAGCTAGTGACTCTCGATCCACGCTGGGGCGCCGGTCTGCGCCCCAGAAACCTGGCGAGATCGAGGCGATCGAGGTCGCGAGCGAGATTCTGCTGCTGAGCCTTGGGGCTTCGGAAGCTGACGCTGAGCTTGAGGCAAAAGAATCTAAAGTCAGAGGATCCAGCTCCGAATGAGGGTGAAAAAGGCTGTCTGTACAAGTGTTGAGGTCTGGGTCCAAGAAACAACAGGGGGTCCAAGACTCTGCCTCGTTTGCAGCCACCAAAAGTGCTTGCTGGTTGTTGTTTCAAGGGCCCTTGTTATGTCTCAATCCCACCCCTCCGAGGTAGAGTGTACCAAGGTATCGGCATACTCAGGCTACAGCCTCCAGTTGCCAGCAGCTGGACAGTCCCCACTTGCCATGGTGAAGACCCTCTTGCTTGAAGGTCTGTAGTAACTCCCAAACTAATAGAGGTATTCCTATCAAGAAAACCGTGACTGACTGGAGTTGATGAAGGAGCGAATGAGCAGGGAATGGCCACTTAAGACTTAAGCACCAACCAAGGAGTAAATGGGGCCAGCAACTGCTTTTTGGACAGTACTTGGGCTTGTGGATGTAAAAGAAGGCAGACAGGCAGGCAGGCAGGCAGGCAGACAGAAAAACAAACAAACACGCCCACTCACACACACAGGATGACAATGGACACCGCCTGAGTCTGTCAACAACCGTGGCAGCATTAACCTGGCCCTGCAGCTGTTCAAACATACTTTGGAGATTGGCCCAATGCAGTGCATGTGCGTCCAGGAATATTGTATGCTTGCTGTGTGGTACTCATCATTATAAGGGCTCAACTATGGAGCTCAGCCTGGGTACCCCTGATATAAGTGCATTACCTTGTATACATACTTGTATAAACACAAATATTGGAATACATGAGCATTTGCCCCAAGTGTTTACTTGTGACAGACACACCTAAACACACAAAAGCATTGTTGCATGCAGGGTGCCATCTTAGAACGGTTCGGCCCATGGCAAGCACGTTTCGCCAGCCTGAGATGACCATCCCATGGCAAGGAAGCGTCTGGCTGAAAATTTTGGCGTATCAAACATACTCCAGGAGCAACTTCTCCGCTCTCCAGGGATGGAAGATCCCACTAGGTCGAGAATCCAGGTTGTTGTTTTTGCAGGGAGAATGTCTTGAACAAAAGACCTCTGGTTGAGGCAGCTATTGTGGTTGGAATGATTCACTCGCTGATGATCGACTTTGAGTTGCTTCGACAAACTGGTCCAAGGGAAAGCCAACTGGCCACATTTATTCGCAGAGACGGAGTCTCGTGGCAAAACAACAATATGTTTGTTCTTTACCACTTCATGACGAGGAGAAACTTGGTGTCAATATTAGCTCTGCAGCGCCTGGTAAGCATAGCTCTTCCGAATCGCCTCTCTGGTTCTATGCTCGGATACGCGCACTGGTTCTAGGCTTTGACTTCTGCGAAACCATCTTGGAGTTGCAGGGCTCATCTCTGATCAACTCAGCAGCGGGCAACGCATATGCGTTTGACACAGTCATGAGACATGTTTGTGTGCTTGCTCGCGTGTTTCGATGGATTGCGGCCATTACCACAAACTGCTCAATGTGCTTTTGTTCATGCTTGACCAGAGCCGAGAAACACAAGATGTGCGCCTGCCACCGACTGCCTTCTGCTTTAACGGCACCCAGAAGGCTTGACCAAAGCTCGCCTAATTCGTTGGTACCCCACCGCAGGCTTCCCGTTTCCTGGGAAAGCAATCAAGTTGTGAGCCTTCAAGGTAGCCCCGCCAAAATCATGTGTTCTTTTCCATTTTCCTGTTCCAGTCCTGTTTGTGGTATCTGGGATTTAACTTTGAAACATTTCCCAGAAGGGTCTTGAGCGAGCCCCGAAAGTCAGGTTCCATCTTAATTGGTGGGAGGGCACGTGCGGCGAAACGAGTCGAAGCAAGACCTTGGCCTGGCAGCAGAGAAAGCCACCGGCTTGCCATTTTGGGGCAAACAACTCGACTCAGGACACCCAAGGTGGCGAGATACATTCTTTGTGTTTCGTTCCATCTGGGGTTCATCAAAACGGTCCGTGATGCATGGGATGACCAGCGAAAACCGCGAGAACCAAAAAACAAAAAGAGGAAACAAAAGAGAACAAACTACAAGTTGATCTTTCAAGCACTACGGGAAAAAATGCCCATGGCCGTTTGGGGGGCCACTATTGATCAACCCCGATTTCCTCAGGGCGCTGACTGAAAAATCCCCACGAAACCAAAGAGCTTCCAGGAGAGGCTCCGAGGTGACGAGCTCAGGCAAGACCCCTCCATTGGGTGCATTTGCTTAAGCCCCCTGGAAAAAAGCAACAAAAACATGCTTGCAATACCTGCATTTGCTTAAGCCCAATGGGAAAAAATGGTTGGTATGCAATAGTGATAGATTCCACCTCTAAGACCAACAGGGGCAAATAAATCTCTTCTCGTGAAATGGAAGCTTCAGCGCAACTGAACATGGGCGCAGATGGACAAAATCCGCGAACAAGGCAGTGGCCGCAGGGTTTCAGTCCAAAAACCCCAGAATGGAGTCCGGACCCCACCGGCAGCTTTCAAGCCCAAGGCCCGCCTTTCGCGGCGCGCCGCGGCTTTATGATTTTTTTTGGGGGAAGCCCTCGAAAAGGATCTGAAGACCGCCGGGAATGGATCCGGTTTTGGCAGCAGGAAAGCCAAAGCCCTTCAGCAGCTTCAAACCGCCGCATCCCGGGGCAGAGAACTGGCCCACCTCGATGCGCGCTTGTTCCCCGCTCGAGTCGCCGCAGGCCCCTGTGCCGCCGAGAGGAGTGTAAGGTCCGTTAAGGTTCTCCTCACTTGTCCAAAGGAGCTGGGCGCATATTATATTTCAGCATGTGTCCAAACTTCAGACCCCCCGCAAGAAAAAAAACATGTTTGGTTGTCCGTGTTTTTGGTTTCCCTTCAAACCAGCGTGAAAATGATACCCCCGAAGAACCCCAACACACAGTTGGTTTCCCTTTTAAGACTGTCTAACAGGGGAATCCTCTAGATTGAAACGGACTCACTTCAAATACGATGCCCAATATGGATTGGAGGGCATCCCCTGGTTCAGGAACTGTTTCAACTTCAGGGAAATCCTGGACGAGACACAATCAGCGATTCGCGAAGTTGAGACCGTTTATGGGCGTGTCGTTGAGGGTAGCCTTTTCTAGGTTTGAAAGAAACTGTTAAAGGACAACTAGTGGTGGGGTACCTTCACCTAGCGTAAACTTGTTTCATGGCCAAAACGGCCAATGCCCGCCCTTTGCTCCCTGCCCATGCAATATGCAAAGCTCGGTTTTGGACAAGTGAGGCAGACGGAGACAGTGCAAGGAGTGCGAGCATCTCCTGCTTTCTGAGAAAGCCACGCTTGCACGCCTCTTGAACACGCTGGCGATGGCAACAGGAATCAGACACCTACTCGAGGGCTGTGTGTTGTTTTTTGTTCAACACTTCGTGGTTCATTGATCCCTTGCTCAAACTGCGCAAGAACTTCTGCTGCAGTATTGGAACTAAACGAGCCTCGCTGGTTGTTGGACATACATGCAACTGTGCGCGAACGGCATGAGGAAAAGGAAGCCGTCAGGATTGGGAATGGCAGGAGCCACACAAACCCGGCCTTGCGCATTTCATTCGCCGCTCTGTGCGACGAAGCAAGCGGTTTTCGAGGGGTTGCGCAGCGGCTTGGGAGAAACAGCAGCGATAGCATGGCAGCATGTCCACTTTTCGTTTGGCCACTGGCACATGGTGAGCCTTCTGTGGACTTTGGTGTTATTGTTCCTGCAAGCTCGGGTGTTCTTGGTTGGTTTCGGCTCGTCGAACCCTCTGCTGCGGACTTTCGAGGTGAGGGGCCTTAAAACAGGTGTTTTTGTCTGCTTGTTTCAGCTCGCACAACCATCAAAGGGTGAAGCCTCTGCAACTCAACAATGGTTTTGGTTTTGTTCTTAGCTAGCTAGACTGGGCCCAATAGCTAGCTAACGTTGCTCCCTATCTAACCTGGCTAGCTGACTAGCTAACTCGCTAAGTTAGTTGCTGGCTTGCCAGCTAACTTTCGAAAGCTCACTAAGCAGCAAATCAGCCAATAAGCCAGCCGACTATCCAACCAGCTTCCTTTGGCAAGGAAGCAAAACTGGCTGGCCGAGGAATTTGCGAAGGGTTGCCCACTCAACGAGAGCCAAGTAACTTGCCAAGCTAAGTAGCTAAGTGAGCTGTCTGAGCTACCTAAACTCGCGCACTAGCCAGCAAACTAGCTAGGTAGCCAACTAGCCAACCGAGCCCGAAAGCTACCTATCGAACTACCTAGCGAGCCAACTAGGTGAGCTTCGATGTGGCTAACTACTTCACCGGATAACTAGCCAGCTGGCTGGCAAACTTGTCAACTAGTTAACTAGTCAACTAGCTAACTCAACTTGGCATATGCACCTGAGGATAAATATATAGAACAAAATCGCGCGGACATGCGGACATATGTATTGACAAGGCACCAGCTCCAAAGCTCTGGTTGATTCATGATTGTAAAACTTCCGCCCCCGGCCTCGCCGGCTGGGATATGTCATAAATATCTCTACACTCTACACATTGTGGAAACAGCAGAGACAACTCCACGTTTGATTCTGCAATTGAGTACGCTCTTTGGTCTTCAGCTGTGGCAACACGGCCGTGGCATGAACAAGCGCATGATCTTTCCCCTCCCGCCGAGAGCCAGGAAAATTGAAACCTTTTGCATGGACCTGTGGGTTTTCTCTTGTGTCGCCAAATCGCCAAATCGCAAAATGTGCCAAAAAGGCGAAGCTAGGTGCTCAGTGCCCCCGAAGGCACCCGGAGACATGTCTTGGGCATACGGGAGCAATCCCGCTGGGATGTTCAGGCAAAATTGGTGTCCACCTGGCTTTCACCAGGGACTGAAAATGCACGTTGGCCTTGGCCGGGTTGGGCTTCTTGGCGTTTCTCCGAAAAAGTGCTCAATTTAAAGTGCTCCGAGTGATTCTTGAGGATGCAAAGTCCCAACTTGGAATTGGCCAAGCGCCAAGGAAAGACAACAAATGTCAAAGGCCAATTCACAAGTTCCACGAGCGAGGCCCGAACGACACTCGCAGGCACCCGGACCCCTTAAAGGGGCTGAGGTTCCGAGGAGAATAAGCGAGAGGCGTCGTAGTGCCGCGCCTTAAACAATGACATGCCCCTTTGAGGGGCGGTCTGATGCTGCCTGGAGCTCTGATAGAGCCGCACCGCTGATGAACAAGTTGCAATCTTTCCATGGGGACTAAATGTAGCACTACGCCTAACTAGGAAACACGTAGGGGCCGGCCCTCCACACATTGCTTCCCTTAGGATGGACAGGTATGAGGTGCAAGTTCTTCCCAATCGCTTTGTTGCTCATGCTCCATCAAACGTTTTCAATAAACACATCATATCCTTCTTGAACGTTGCTCCGTCAAGGAGCCAACCGACATGACACAATTAAGACAACTTGGCAAGAACGGTGTCACTCAAAGTACTGTGGTAAATCCCCACTACCATGGGACAAGCTGGAAACTAAGCTCACTCAAACACCTGGGGTCTGCTAAATCGGATCAAAAACGTGAGGCATGGTAGCTGCAGAGTTCATGACAACGAAACCCATGCATTCGGGGAAGTCTGCAAAACCAACTCTCAAGAACGGCCATGCCTCATACTTCATCCTCTCGGTCACAAACACACACACACACAACCTGGGGTGGTCATACCTCTTGTTCAGTGATGTTTGTCTCCGACATCGTGATCATCAGTCTGGCCCTGGCTGCTCAGACCCAAGGCTTGCTTCACACTTTCGCTTAACAAAGGGACCCCTACTCCCTTCTGCAGGCGCGAAGCCTTTGGGAGAACTCAACTTTTGGCTTGGCAAAGCAGCAAGAGGAATCGCTGACTTGGGGTCCTGTTGTGCGGGCAGTGCCAGCGACAGCACGCTGGTTCGGATTGGCGTTGAGTCGCATAATGTCATAAAAATGCGCCGGGATAGGAACCACGGCCAAGCCTTCTCGCATGCAGTAACCCCACTTCCAATTTCCATGCTGACATGGAAATGGAAGTTCCTCTCAGGGAAATAGGGTCCAGCCAGCCCAATGGGCGAAAAAACAAGAACAAAACAAGTAGTTCTTTGCTTGGTTTTCTCTGGTTGCTCTTATCACTTGCTTCAGCAGATCTTGCCGCTGGCGGAGTTTCAAAGGTCCTGAGCGCACGTGGCGGCCGTTCAACCAGCTGGAGTTTTGACATGGGGGGCGTGTCCATCGCTCTTGGTCCGCAAAGAAATGTTGCTCCAGGGGCCCTTTTTCCAAGTTTCTCAAAGCCCGGCTGGCGGGCTTCTCGCAAAGAAAACCTGTTTTGCGGCAGCCCCCTGGAGTTTAGAACCCAGCGGCTCATAAACCAGGTCCGCGGGAGGCCCTACCATGAGCAATACCCTAAAACACGGGGCCCTGTTCGCCTCGAGGGTCATTTCAAGCAGACTTCAGAGGTCCAATGCCTGCCGTCCCATACTCCTTATGGGAGCTATATTCTCATACAAAACCGAAATCCCATGGGCACGGCAATGCCGAACAAATTGCAAAGAGCTGGGTGGAAACCTTCACCCGAAGTAAAAGGGCCTGAAAATGACGTGTTAGAGCACTTCCAGTCCATGCCCATTTGAGTCATAATCAAAACTTATTAAGATGGTCTATACCCAAAACCATGCAACAAGTTACAAGGGCCGCCGCACCTGCTTATGGTTGGGACACTCCCTTTCTAAGTGTTTATTCATTGGGTTTTAGTTGTGGCTCATTCCCCTCCCTCTAGTGTCCAAACAAGGCTGTGAAGAGGAAGGTATGATGCAAAGCACTTGAAAACAGGCCTGAAAAGGGGTTTGCTTCGTTTGCAACCGCCCCCTTGGACACTGGGAATGGAGCCATTCTCAAGCTCGACATGGAGACCTGTTGTGACCTATTTGGGTCATTCCCAGAAAATGGCTTCAAAAAGGCCGCGTGAGCCACAATCAACACCTGGTGTTATGTTCGTAATCCCAAACCCATGTAAAGACTTTTAGAACGCGGCACCCATTTAGCCTTCGCTTTCCAGGGGTTTGATGGTGACTCATGTTGCTACGTCCGAAAACAGACATAGCTCAGAACTTGGCTCCCATTGAAATGGTGTTCCTGGCTAGTAAAACGTTTAAAGACAAACTGGCTGCGCCCAAATTCATTGACTTCCGGTTCTACCAAAATGGTTCTAAAGGTTTTTGGGCACGGCTCCAATTCAATTGAACAAGTAGAACACTCATCTGGATGGCAAATGGCCATGGGTCAAAATCCCGTACCCCCAGTGAACAACTAAAACAGACTACAATGGGTGGTGCACCTACCCCGAAATGGGATCGCATTGGTTTTGACCCACAGCCAAATGTGAAAACAGCTTTGAGCGTGGTCTCCACCGGCGAGTCAAACATCACCAGCCTCGCTGAAGACGATGCGTTCCTCCTCCAGCTCCTCCTCCTCCTGCAAAGAGGTTTTCTTGCCCAAAACCTGGGGTACACAAAAACATGGTTCACAGGTTCTGGTCCTTAGTTCTAGAGGACATTCAGCTGAGGGTCGTCGAATTCATTTAGCACCTTCTCGGAATGAAGGCTGACCTCTCTCAAGGGTAGGCTCCGATTTTGCTCCTGATGGTTTATGACCCAGGCTGTAATCACTTTTTGTGGGTGTCCTTGGAAATACGTCTCTAGCTGACACTCAGTCAGTCATGAAGGCTTGTAAAGAGTTCACTGCCCCGTGGGTAGAAGGCCACCACGTGGGTCCATGCTGTCACCCTGGCTAAAAGGGTATTGGACTGTTTTAGGGCGGGCCCGAAAAATCGTTCAGTGGCTATGGCAGGATTTGTTGGACAAATCCTGGGCCCAAAACCGCTTTAGCTATCTATTCACGATTTATCTATTGTTCTATCTATGTATCATCTATCTATTGTTATCTATGCTTCTACTTATGAATTCCCATTTCTGAAAGACAGGTCCAAAAAAACCCACTACCTCTCACGAACCCACCAGCCCTGCCCGGGATTCACCTCCGCGATGGGTCGCAGCTCTGTGTTCGCCGCGCTCGCCGCGGGGTTGACCTTCTCCGTTTTCTCTGCTTTCTCCTGGCAGATCGCCAGCTGGAATTGGAGAGGCTCCCAAACCTTGTGAAAGAAATCAAGACAAAGGTAGTTGCTTTATATAGGTACACCCAACAAAGAATATATATATATATATACAAATCATAGTAAGACAAATCATAGTAAACATGATCCTGATGATTTATATATATATGTATATGGTACCCCCCCAGGGACCTGTTTGAAGAATTCACTGGTATTTGCAGTGTAGTGTGGTCTGCCTGTTTTGAGGCTTTCGGGAAAGCAGTGACAACGCTTTTCCAAGGACATTCTGGAAGCTTGAGGCACGATTGAAACCGAATTGATTTAAATCGGGCCTGGATTTAAGATTCAAGAATCCAGGCCAAACTTCTGGGAATCTTGAATGAGACCCTTCCAGCCCTAGGTGCAAAACAAAATCGGTGGGTCCCTTGGCGGGGAGCCCCCCCGAACAACAAAATCAAACCATGTGTGGTTGCCCCTTGATTTAGCTTCAGCATCAATTCAACCAATGGAAGTGTAATGGACCAACCACGATGGGAACCAACCCACAGGAAGAAAGCAACGAGCTGTTCTTGGTAGTTGACTCCAGAGGGGACTCCCGGCTGTATAGCCCAATATACAGGCAGCGCCAAACCGCCCAAGTGTTTTCGTTGCCGCGCCCGTGAGAACTCGAATCGCCTGCGTAGCCAAAGAACCGGGGGGGACGGGATGAACATGGTTCTTGCAAGCTCCAGTCTCTTTCACGGACCTTAGGATCCCCCAAGCTTCCAAAGCCTAAGACCAAAGCCAAACCAAGAAGCTCGGCCTTTGACCTGGAAAACGTCAAGTTTCTCAGAAAGTCCCCAACTGGGCAGCTCCAACCGACGGAACGGACTGAACTTGGACCCTACAAACCCCAGCTCAATGCTACAACTCGATTGAAGCGGTGCATCACCACGTGGCCATGGGTTGCATAACCAATGCTCCATTTTCGGGTGGATGAACATCCATTTGCCACCTATTTTGATGTTCACCAAAATTACAGGGTTTTGACCCACAGCCACGTTCAACCAATTGGCGCCGTCTTTCAACGAACCCCGAAAGCCCCACAAAGGCTTCAAATAGGGCCCCAAAACGCTTTGGGGCTGTTTGGGGGGTGCCTTTAAGGGATGACAAAGGTAGAAGCGTGTGCTTTCCTAGGGTGGTTGCTTCGTTCTCATGTTGGTCTTATGGTTGTTCGGGACACAACTCTGGGTGCTGAATTAATAGGTGGGGTTCTGAAAGATTGGCCCCTCCCCTTGGGAAGTGTTTTGAGGCAAGTGAACAAAGCAGCAAATGCCCAGATACACCCAACAACCCCCCCCTTCCCGGTTGAAATCGATTTGCACTCAGAACTCAGAACTCCACTCGCCTTTTTGGCCCTGGGGATTCCAGGTCCCGCCATGTCCCGCCTGCGGTTTGTTGGTTGCCTTGGGTTCGTTCAGCATGGGGCCCAAGCGCCCGTTCATCACTAGGATCTCGGTGGCCTGATCGCGATCCGAACGATTGGACTGCAACAATCAGCGTCCAAACCTCAAACAAGGCACATGGCCATGGTTCGAAATCCCGTACCCCCAGTGAACAGCCCAATCCCCGCTGAAAATTTCTGGCTGGTGCGCCTACCCCAAAATGGTACCATTGGTTTTGACCCACATGTCTAGATGTTCTGGCAAAGAACTGCCCAGAAAGAATCCTTGGGAAAAATATGGATCTTAATCCGTGGTTTGTAGGTGCTAGATACCTGGATGCTCTGATTCAGCGAAGCCAGGGGCAGTCCTGGAGGCCCCGGAAAATCCGTGTATCCAATCTTGAGGCTTGTTTTCAAGGGAAAACAAAAGGAGACCACGGTTTCCAGGAATGGGAGGTCTACGAGACCAACCCCATCGTGCTGTTCCCTGGACTCATGTTTTCCCCCTAGCCTAGGATACCAACCCACATATATGGAGTATGTAAGAGTGTACCTGGAGTCATGACCCTTGAAAAATGGGGGCACCCTAAATAATGGGGTCATGGACAAATATTTTTCTTTCAAGTCATGGAGACTCTAGGTAGGGGAATCTCAGCGACTCCGGGTATGCCATCACCTACCCCCTCCGTTTCACGCGCCTTCCCTCGAGCCGCTCCCCCCCCGCCCACGGTCTGGCTGAAGAAACGCGCGTGGAAACCCCAAGGACATGGAGCCAGGCCCCCTGTTTGGACCCAGGCTTTAGTCTTTAGTCGTTGCTTCTCCTCATATCCAGCTTTCCCATAGCCTGCCTTGATCAAGCCAGCTGACTACTTCAGGGTGTCCACTACATTACCTAACAACACTAGATGAAACGTGCTCTACGAAAAACGGGTCAGCCCCAAATCAGGTTGTCTTTGGTTTTCTTCAAGCGAACTGGGGGATCCGGGCACGCCCAAAGCAGGGTTTGGGTCTTGACCCTTTCAGAAAATGATGTAATTGGGAGGGACGAAAGGGGTGACGAGCTCAACAAGTTGCAGCTGCAAAACCAGGGGACTAGCCCCAACTGATGATCCCACGTCCTCTTCGCGAAACACTCAAACATATGAGGCAAGGAAATGAGGTCATCGCCCTAAACCTTCCAACTGTTGTCCTAGATCCCAAGCGGTCGGTCCATTCCTGACAAGAAAAAATGGTTTATCAACATGCAAAGGGGGTCCCTTACCATTTTCCCCAGGAGGCCCCCCTTCCCCCTTCACATCGAACCGGTTCCCGGGCCACTCGACTCGGTTCCGCCTGGATGGCCTCCGAGCCGTGGGAGGTGAACTTCAGGGCCAAGACGTTGAAGAGCCGCGCGTACGCCGCGCGCACCCCCTCGAAGTCGGTCTTCAAGGCGTCCAGCATCTCCTATCGACGTAAAAAGGGGCTGCCTTTGTTCAAACATGGAAAACTCCAAGTGGACCTGGGCCTCAAGGCCCAGTGCTCTGTTGCATCTTTGGTGGGGTGCTCCATGTTTCGGACAGATGGGTGTCCCCCAATTCTTGCCCATGAGGAATATGGGGAAAGCGAGGGGTGCCCTCCATCTGTCTTGAGACCCCGTCTCCAAAGCAACTCACGAGGAAAACTCTCCATGCGGTGTGCTTCATTTGCTGTTTCTCAAAGGGAGCCAACTTCGGGTTTTGGGTTTAAACTTTTTCAGATCTCCTGCAAAACCATTTAATTCCCTCATTCCATGCTGAGAACCAGCAAGATGATTCTGGCCAGTGGAGGCTGGGGCTGTGGCGAAAGCTTCTTAGTGCCTGCCTCCGTCGTGCAAGCGCGGCTTGGCAAATCTCGGCACATGCAGAAAATCACGAATGCCTGCAAGCAGAACTGGATTCCGTGCGGTTTTTTGTTGGTTTGAACCCTGCTCCGTCTGTGGAATCGAAACACGGAGCTCCTTGCTAAAAATCTTCCCCGCCGCCAGATTCTCCCAAAACGCCGGGTCCGGGTACACGAAACTCTCGTCCGCCTCGGGTGCGGTCTTGAGCTTTGGGAGTTGCTCATTCGAGGATTCTGGGAACCCCGGATCTAAGCAGAACCTCTGGCTGATTTTGAGAGATGGAGGCGTCCTCTTTTGGTGGAGGTTTAGATTACTTGACGAAGGACGGGTTTATTTTCATCTAAATCGACGTTATCGTTTGTTTGGCCGCATGGCTTATTGCGAACGTTTCCCATTCAAACAGACTTCCGCCTGACTCCTGGTGTTTCACTTTTAATATTGGGGGGAGCCCTCTGCTGTCCAACCAACAGTAGACTTCCACACTCATTGGTGGCATGTGTGTCAAATAGGAGGTCTGGAGAAAAGCGCAGCAACCGGCCGCGCCCTTCTCATTTGATCTGGCAAAGCAAAGTCAACATATGCCATCAAATGCCAATGCCCTTTTGGGTTGCTTCTCGAAGGTAAGCACATGTTATCCTTGCGTTAGATTATTTTCCCTATGCCAGGTGAGAAGACAAAGTAGAGGATTCAAGGAGAAAAGTAAAGGACTTTCGATTCAGAACTCAGATCCCAGTCAAAGCATCCCCCCATTTGCCCGCAAAAAACAGATGATGGATTAGAAGTAAAGCTACCAACTCTGAGGCGAGCCCCACTTCTGTTTGGCTGCCGCGCCACATGCCTTGATGGGCACCAGCGGAAATGGATAGATAGAATTTTGTCCGGTCTTGTTGAAGGATCACCCCCTATTTTGGCACACAAAGCAACACGCGTACACGCACACACACGCCCGCAAGCACAACGAACAACTCTAAAACAGCAACGGAAAAGGTAACAACAACAAAACAAGAACAGTAAGAAGAACAAGAAAAATAAAATGCCAAGAACAAAACACCAACCACAACAAGAACAACAGCA